AGTGTCTAACATCTATACTTTCCTTCTAAAAAACTGTTGCATCTCCCCTCCACCTTTGCTCTTTTAGATACTGAGTGCAACACAAATATTGAGTCATTTGGTTAAAACAAACCTGATGACTAATGTGTGTATAAAGAATCTGACTTGGTGCCCTGTCTACACTTTCCCCTCTTGATTTAATACATTTAATTAAAATTCAACCTGAGGCTAATCATTAGTCACTCATGTATTTGTTGAGTCATCAGCAGGCTAATGGATTATGCCGGTGCATCATCATTTCAGAACTGTTTACTATAGAGTTCAAATCTATTCAGCCAGACAGACGCAAAGATTTCACCAATTTGTGACAGAAACTGCTTTTATTTCTTCTCCTGGAGTCACTTGTTGCACACGCAGGGAACAGATCAAAGTTCCTTGATGCTATATAGTCATTTAACTGTGAAGGTCTGAATAGTTTGATTGTAGTTCTGAACACCTAGTCGAGCTTGTATTTATTGTTTTTTGCTCCGATGCTCGGTCTGTCCCCCCATCGTCTGAGCTCGACAGAGGACAGTGACTCTGGACGATAAAAATGGACCAGGTGTCCACTCCTGAAGCAGGACTCCGACATCAGCAGCACTTAGACAGGTGTTCTTCCACGAAAACCCACTTTACCGAGTCAGAAAGAAACTGATACGTTCAGAAACTCACCCACTAAAACTGTGCTGCAGCGCTAATCGACGTCGGGATCAGGGGGACGATCTCGATCGATCGTTACTCAATTATCAAGTAAAGTAAAGCTACAACAACAATTACATTAATAATGCAAAGTTAACTTGATTATGCGCTTCTGCTTTCTAGTATTCGCTCAAGCTGGTTCTTCCTGCCGTGTTGCTCAGAGGTTTGCAGTGAATATCTTTCATTTCTCTCAGCACATTGGACATGTTATAAATCAGCCCTGTTTAACTGTCCACCGAGCACAATACCTGATGCATTAATGTCTTGTAGTGGTTCTGATCACTGACTGGCCAGTGGAGGTCACTGCTCAGTTTGTTTGCACATCACTCATAGCATTAATATCTCTGGGATGAACTAATTACCAGTTGTTATAGTGTGTGTACCGTCTCATTGTCATACCTCTTTACCTCAGCATTGTGCACAATGCTGACAACCTGTACAGTCACTGGACCAGAATGTCCTCTGCTGGGGGTGGAGGCGGTTTTGAGGTTCAGCCATCATTGTTGAGTCTGGCTTCCTCTGGATCCTGCTGTTCAGAAGAGTTTTGTGTTTCACGATAGAGACGCTTCCTGTGACTTTCAGCCAGCAACAATACCCAGCAGCTGAAATAAATTTGGATAAGTAATCTGCAGCACCTCCGCAGGGGGAGAATTGGATCGTCCTCTCTGCTGAGCCCAGAGGTGGACTTCAGTTTGATAAAACAGCTGTTTTGCAAAATGCTTTGCGTAAGTGAGTATTTAGGAAAGTAGATGTTATGTGGATCTACCCTGGAACAGCAAATCTGTCTGTGTAAGTGTTAGACGTTCCATCCTGTCAGCCTGGAGCCCTGAAAGTCTGAATGACCTCCTACCAAACCAGGTTCGTCCAGAAAATTGAGTTCAGGCAGCAGCCAACAGAGTATTTTCTTTTTTCAATCAATTTTTTAAATATTTCTTTTCCGCCTGACACGAGTAAGCTGTTGCCATGGTAGTTCAGATGAAGCAGGAATGATAATTGTTTAACCATAGCAGCGTGTGAATTATTAAAACCTAAAGGGCATGAATGAGCCGACGGAGAAATAGAAAAGAAATGAGACAGAATGAGGACTTATCGTTGTCTGTGCGTTCATTGGCGGCTGTTTATTAAGTCTTTTCATGGCTCTCGAGGCCCACGACTGTGCAGATGAGACAGATGCAGCCGCAAATTTGTGAGTGAAGCTCCAAGACTCCAGCCTGTCCTCAGAGTTTTTAAAGGAATATTCAAGAACTTTCATGAATAGTGGAAGAGGCCCATTCATGAATAGTGCAGCAGACCAAACAAAGAGAGGAGCAGAGGAGAAGATGGTGGCTAAGCGCGACCAGCTCCTGCAAATAAACCGTCTGCTAACGAAGAAACATCAGTTTAATGAACAAATTCAGGTTTGTTGGGGGGTTTTCTGCACTGACTGGAGGCACCTTTTTAAAAAGCCATCCTCCTACAAAGCAAAATATTCAGCTCATGAACCATTTATTTGGGCAAAAGTGTTGCTGAAAAATTCATCAACAGAAGGCGAGCTGTGCATCCAAAACCAAAACTCCTAAATGCTGCTATAGCACATGAAATAGCCACATCCACAAAACTACAGACAAAACACAGACATCCCCAAAACATACTGCTGGGCTGAGAACATATCAAACATAACATAATGCCAGCGTTATATATAAATAGCATTAAGTAGTCACAGCTACTGATCAAAATTAAACCATTTATTTTCTCTCCAACTGTTAAGGATATAACAGAAATGTTCTGCTGCAGTTTAACACATCGACGATTTCATACAGCCGGCAATAAATTAGACAAAATGAATCTATCTCCTTCACAACAAGAAAGTGACACATGTAAATCATCCAGATATAAAAATACAGATAGTGCTCGTTTGTGTTTGCATGCACAGGGTCGGTCTGTACACAACCGACTACGGTGCTGTTGTGCAGACAGAATAAACAGAAAATATCCACGAGGAAATTCTCTCTCTCTCCCCAGCTCAAGGGTATACACGGTTGTTTTTCTAGGAGCTCGTAGGCAAAAAGTAAATCTTATTTGCATATTTTACAGTGTTGAACATCACGCTGGAGTATTGTTCCAAAAGTTTCACCACAGAAAGTAAACTCCGTCACCGACGTGATGGACTGTGGCAACCGAAGATCCAGCAGTGATTTCCGTTCAGTGCCTCCAGCAGGTCCAGAGGCTGCAGTGACATCTCTGAACCACCGGGGTTCTCTAGCACTGAGACTCAGCGTAGCCCTCATCTACAGGAGGCTGCTTCTTCACCATGTAGGACTCCACCTCATCGTCCGAGTCCTGGAAGAGAAGCACATGAAGACGTTCAGGTGAAACTACATCCAGACAGACACACAAAGAGCCAGACAACAAAACAAGTTCATTGGGAAAAAAAATAAATCAATATTTTACAAACCCTCAAGTCCTGATGTCAGACATAGAGGCCATGTAAAATTAATCATGTGAAATGTATCTGGCAGACATGTCTCATTAAGTTATTTATGGGTTGGAAGGCAGTGTGTGTTAAAGTGAAATGTTCTGTACCGTACCAATAGATATAGCTCACAACATGTGCTCCTTTTTGTTTGGGGTGCCGGTTGGTAGACGCCATACTCCTCTCTGATAAAGACAAAAACAATGATTAGTTATAACAGCTGAGGTCTGCTGTGAGGAAAGCCTGGCCGTGTTGTTCTGACACGTTTCAAACAGGTCTGTGAGGAAGAAGAGGAGGAAAAGTACTTTTAAACTAACGCTCTTCATGTTTTTATTTTTACTGATTAACAACAAAACAGAATGCAGCTCTAGAATTATTTTAAAAGAATTGGTTTGAATTTCAGGAAATTTGGTTTCTTTGGAGAAAAACTACCGCTCAGATGTTTGTCCGATCAGTACGAAGCTGAAACAAGAAACCCGTCAGACGAGTTCTGCCCCAAAGCAACAACATCCGACTACCAGCAGCTGTAAGGTCCAACAATTAATCATAGACTGTATAAAAGATGGACGTAGCT